ATCTGGGATCAGGAAAACTATGCCCTAAATGAAACTGCTGGGAGGATATCTTAAATTACATGGACCCTAACCAATGCCTCGAAAAGATCACCCTCTTGGTAGCTAAAGTATCTTCAAGGTATGTTCCTATAAGACAAAAGAAAAGAAGTAAACTGGAGAGAGAGAGAGATGCTCCCTCTACAGAAGACGAAGAATCATTGAGCTCCTCAAGAATGCCAGATTATCTGATACACGGAAGGAAGTGCTAACCAGGGAAGTGGAAAATATTGAGCTGAAATTAAAGCACTCATACAGGATCCAGGAGAGACAAGAGCTAAAAGCGATTAACGAAATTGAAAGAAATTCGAAATATTTCTTTTCATATGCCAAAAACGAGTCTAAAACCACTTCTAGTATATGGCCCCTGCTCAGACAAGACGGATCCTACACAGACGACAACAAGGAAATGAGCGAGATACTGAAATCGCAGTATGACTCAGTCATACTGCGACTAACCAGTTTAAAGATAGACAATCCAAACAATTTTTTCATGAATGAGCCTCAAAACCCTGCCAATGTAGGCCAGATTTATGACAACTTTAACTCCACTAGACTTTGAGACAGCCATCGACGACACGCCCCATGCACTCAGCCCCAGGCCCAGACTCGTGGAACTCGGTGTTCATTAAAAACTGCAGGAAACCCCTCTCACGGGCCCTAAGTATGCTATGGAGAAGGAGCTTAGACACAGGTGAGATTCCAGTCACTAAAAACAACAGATATAGCCCCACTCCATAAAGGTGGCAGCAAAGCAGTAGCTAAGAACTATAGACCAATAGCTTTAACGTCCCACATCATAAAAATCTTTGAAAGAGTTCTAAGAAGCAGGATAGCAAACCACCTGGACTCCCAAAAATTGCACAACCCAGGGCAACATGGTTTCAGAGCAGGTCGCTCCTGCCTTTCGCAACTGCTTGACCACTATGATATAAGAACATAAGAACATAAGAAAGGAGGAACACTGCAGCAGGCCTGTTGGCCCATACTAGGCAGGTCCTTTACAATTCATCCCACTAACAAACATTTGACCAACCCAATTTTCAATGCCACCCTAGAAACAAGCTCCGATGTGCAAGTCCCACTCAAATCCAACCCCTCCCACTCATGTACTTATCCAACCTAAATTTGAAACTACCCAAAGTCCTAGCCTCAATAACCCAACTAGGTAGACTGTTCCACTCATCAACTACCCTTTTTCCAAACCAATACTTTCCTATGTCCTTTCTAAATCTAAACTTATCCAATTTAAATCCATTACTGCGGGTTCTCTCTTGAAGAGATATCCTCAAGACCTTGTTAATATCCCCTTTATTAATACCTATCTTCCACTTATACACTTCGATCAGGTCTCCCCTCATTCTTCGCCTAACAAGTGAATGTAACTTAAGAGTCTTCAATCTTTCTTCATAAGGAAGATTTCTAATGCTATGTATTAATTTAGTCAGTCCTAGATGCACTGGAAAACAAACAGAATGCGGATGTAGTACACACAGACTTTGCAAAAGCCATTGAACAAGTGCGACCATGGTGTAATAGCACACAAAATGCGTGCTAAAGGGATAACCGGCAAAGTAGACAGATGGATCTTCAACTTTCTAACCAATCGCACACAAAGAGTAGTGGTAAACAGAGTTAAATCAGATGCTGCCATAGTGAAGAGCTCTGTCCCACAAGACACAGTACTAACACCTATCTTGTTCCTTATTCTCATATCAGACATAGAGATGTAAACCACAGCACTGTATCATCTTTTGCAGACGATACTAGGATCTGCATGAGAGTGTCATCCGTTGAGGACACGGCAAAGCTCCAAGAAGATATAAACCAAGTTTTCCAATGGGCAACAGAGGACAATATAATGTTCAATGAAGACAAATTCCAACTACTCCGTTATGGAAAACTGGAGGAAATAATAACTAGGACTGAGTATACTACAAACTCCAATCACACAATAGAGCGGAAAAGTAATGTGAGGGACCTGGGTGTGGTAATGTCCGAAGACATCACCTTCAAGGACCACAACAATGCCACTATCACATCTGCTAGGAAACTGATAGGATGGATAATGAGAACATTCAAGACAAGAGATGCTAAGCCAATGATGATCCTTTTTAAATCACTTACTCTCTCAAGGCTGGAATACTGCTGTGCATTAACATCCCCATTCAAGGCAGGTGAAATTGACTGCACGGATAAGTTCCATCAAACACCTTAACTACTGGGAGCGCCTGGAAGCACTTGACTTGTACTCACTAGAGCGCAGACGAGAGAGATATGTATCATAATCTACACCTGGAAGATTCTGAAGGGACTGGTCCCTATTATGCACACAGCAATCACTCCATACGAAAGCAAGACTTGGCAGGCGATGCAACATACCCCCAGTGAAAAGTAGGGGCGTCACTGGTACACTAAGAGAAAACGCAGTAAGTGTCCGGGGCCCAAGACTGTATAACAGCCTCCCACCAGCAATAAGGGGCATTACGGGAAGACCCTTGGTTGTCTTCAAGAGGGACCTGGACAGATACCTAAAGACGGTGCCTGATCAGCCAGGCTGTGGTTCGTACGTTGGATTGCGTGCGGCCAGCAGTAACAGCCTAGTTGATCAGGCCCTGATCCACCAGGAGGCCTGGTCGTGGACCGGGCCGCGGGGGCGTTGATCCCCGGAATGCTCTCCAGGTAGCCTCCAGGTAGGAAAAAAGACTGGGTGAATAACGAGAACTTTCAAAACAAGAAAAATGATGGCAATGGTAACTTATTTAAAGTCGCTTTCACATAGAGTATTGTTGAGTGTTGACAGCCCCGTTCAGAGCAGGAGAGATATTAGTGCTGGAACAAATACAGAAATCATTTAAGGTCAACACAGAGTCAAGACAGCATTGAAATTACTGGGAATGCCTCAGAGTCCTAAATATATACTACCTGGAGTGAAGGAGTGAAAATATACATGATAATATATACGTGGAAGGTGCTTGAGGACCTGGTCCCTAATCTGCACACTGCCATAACAACAAACTGGAGTGAGAGATGTAGAAGAATGTGTAAAATATGACCAGTGAAAAGCAGGGGAGCCGTGGGTGCAATAAGAGAACATTGTATCAACATCCGTATTCCCAGACTGTTAAACCACACTCTGACAGATGTCAGAAACACTGCTGGAACAAATGTACACATTTTCATGTGGAATCTCGACAAGTTCCTTCGCCAAGGATCGGATCAACCAGGCTATGAAGCATATGTGGGCCAGAGAGCTGCCAGCAGCAACAGCCTGGTTGACCAGGCAAGCACCAGACAAGCCTGGTCCAGGACCGGGCTGCAGGAATAGGGAAAACTCTCGAAACTCATCAAAGGTATACTGTGTAGTAGAGGCAACAAGGAGTGTGGGCAAGAATATGTTTAATGTGACAGTGTGGAGTATGATGGGGCATTATGGCGCCAGACGGGCAGTGCCCTGCCCTCAGTCCCCCCTCCCCGACAGGGAGAGTGGTGAGTGGGCAACACCCCTGAGAGTGCTGGTAGCACCCGTGAGAATTCTGGTAGCACTCCTGAGTGAGTGTGGCAAGCAGCCCTGGGTGTGTGGGCAGCATCCGAGTGAGTGTGGGTAGCACCCCTGAGGGCGTGGGTAGCACCCCTGAGGGCGTGTGGGTAGCACCCCTGAGGGCGTGTGGGTAGCACCCCTGAGGGCGTGGGTAGCACCCCTGAGGGCGTGTGGGTAGCACCTCTGAGGGCGTGGGTAGCACCCCTGAGGGCGTGTGGGTAGCACCCGAGGGCGTGGGTAGCACCCCTGAGGGCGTGGGTAGCACCCCTGAGGGCGTGGGTAGCACCCCTGAGGGCCTGTGGGTAGCACCCCTGAGGGCGTGGGTAGCACCCCTGAGGGCGTGGGTAGCACCCCTGAGGGCGTGGGTAGCACCCCTGAGGGCGTGGGTAGCACCCCTGAGGGCGTGGGTAGCACCCCTGAGGGCGTGTGGGTAGCACCCCTGAGGGCGTGTGGGTAGCACCCCTGAGGCGTGTGGGTAGCACCCCTGAGGGCGGGGTAGCACCCTGAGGGCGTTGGGTACCCACCCCTGAGAGCGTGGGTAGCACCCGAGGGCTTTGGGTAGCACCCCTGAGGGCGTGGGTAGAAACCCCTGAGGGCGTGGGTAGCACCCCTGAGGGCGTGGGTAGCACCCCTGGGGGGCGTGTGGGTAGCACCCCTGAGGGCGTGTGGGTAGCCCCCCTGAGGGCGTGTGGGGTTAGCCCCCCTGAGGGCGTGGGTTAGCACCCTGAGGGCGTGTGGGTAGCACCCCTGAGAGCGTGGGTAGCACCCCTGAGGGCGTGGGTAGCACCCCTGAGGGCGTGGGTAGCACCCCTGAGGGCGTGTGGGGAAAGCACCCCTGAGAGCGTGGGTAGCACCCCTGAGGGCGTGGGTAGCACCCCTGAGGGCGTGGGTAGCACCCCTGAGGGCGTGTGGGTAGCACCCCTGAGGGCGTGTGGGTAGCACCCCTGAGGGCGTGTGGGTAGCACCCCTGAGGGCGTGGGTAGCACCCCTGAGGGCGTGTGGGTAGCACCCCTGAGAGCGTGGGTAGCACCCCTGAGGGCGTGGGTAGCACCCCTGAGGGCGTGGGTAGCACCCCTGAGGGCGTGGGTAGCACCCCTGAGGGCGTGGGTAGCACCCCTGAGGGCGTGGGTAGCACCCCTGAGGGCGTGGGTAGCACCCCTGAGGGCGTGGGTAGCACCCCTGAGGGCGTGGGTAGCACCCCTGAGGGCGTGGTGTTGCCGGCGGCCAGGGCAGCGCCTGTTGACATCACCATCGTGAACTTAAACATCAACACACACACATTTTCATGCTGCCAACAGTATACTACCTAACGTTTGACAACAGTAGTGTGAGTGTGTGAGAGTGTGTATGAGTGTGAGAGTGAGCATTCCAGCACATGTGTAGAGGCGTGGGTAAGTTGTTTTAGAAGTTATAGACCATTTACCTGTGCCAAAGTGTTGGTAGGCGCGAGGAGACACACAAGCAGAAGCACTGCTAGAGTGACAGTCCTGTGCACCATCATGGTGACACCTGCGGTCTTGTACTCTCAGAGTACACGCTGCTGCTGTTGCTCTTGTTGCTGCTGCTGATGCTCACTCAACATTCACGACTACACGACACGCGAAGACACGACCCCAACGTCTGGTGGTCGGCGGGCAA